GTTGTATTACTTCGTGTGCATACTAAAGCTTGACTTTTTCGTCACACAGGTCCTGTCGTTTTTACTTATCAATATTTACTGGATTTTAAATAATAAGGTTATTGATAAATGTTCTGTGATTGTCATATAAATGTTTCTTGAACAACGTTACGATGGAAAATAGTGATACTAACGATCTTGGCGGGAAAATTGGTAACTCGATTATCCAATATGGCGGTGCTTAAAATATGAGTTGGATGTGGTACTAGGGTGATCGATTAACTTGCCGTTTTTGTATATTAACATTTATAGGATTTTAAATAGAGACATTGATCATGGCGGATTCTTAAAAATTTGTTGCGATTTTTCTGGCGCGTTATATTATTTTTATGCATATTAAAGCTTCACCTTTTCCCGCATTCTTCCGCCGCCATTTACGTGGCCCTGGAAGACAATCGCGTCAATTCGCGTGTCCTGTGAATCGGAAATACGCCACTTCTAATCCAAAGGGTCCATACCACTTTCCGCTCTAATTAAACGGTTAGTCGCACGTGGTTCCGCAGCTACATGAAGCAATTACGCAGCTCGCAGAGGAATCCTTACAAAATTGGACTTTTTCGATTTCGTGCACTTCCTTATCAATGCCTACATTAGCATTATTAATAGGCCACTAATATTAACACGAAATTCCGTTTATAATGCATAGAGTACATTTTAAGATTCCTTTCTTTAAGCTCAAATAATGTTTTTCATTTTTTCACCAATATCAGTGAAATTTTAAATAAAAAGCGTATCGACATCTGAGATTATTTAGACACCACGAAGTAGAATCATTTTTTAGTTTCAATCGTGGACAGAATTTCACGAGAAATCGAGGGTAATTATCGCACTTTGTTACCAAATTAGGAAGACAATGGTCTTTGCCTAAAACTATATTTATCATGCCTTTTATTCCATGATGCATTATATTCATCATGCCTTATATTCTATGATGCACTGTATTCATCATACATTTTATTTCATGATGCATCCTCTTCCATGATACACATGATGATGAATGTGTGCATTGCGTAAAATGCGTGAATATAGTGCATTATGTAATAAAATGCATGCATTACATTGCATGAGGAGGATGAGAATTGTTGCAGAAATTTCGGTTACCTAGTTCTTAAGTTTTGCAATAAGTACGTATATGGTGAACGGTGGCTCGGTTTAAGCGAACATTCGTGATGAGGTACCTGGCGGTTGCGCGCAGGTTATGTAAGAGTTACTTTCTAGGGAAAGGTGGCGCGCTTTTTAAACCGAGTCAGACAGGGTCAGCAGAATGTCCAGCTCCGATCACTGTCGCGACATCGGTCACTGTCCGATCTGGTTTGGTAGGCTCGGTGTAAGAGGCAATTGCCCATTCCAGTTCGTCCTAACCTATAAGCTAGGCCTTCGCGAAGGCCCACATCTGGTTAATTCACTCGGCGCTCGTCTATCGATTAATCCTACATAACTGTCCGTCGACTCACGCTTTCAGACACTCGTCTATACTTCCCGACAATTTCAGGCGTAATCACTGCTGATTATGCAGGCAGATTAGGTGCACCGTTAGTTTCGATCATTCTCCAAGGTCCCTCAAGTCGCACCCAGGACATAAAAATAATGCCGTCGCGCAGGTGACCTACAATATAGCGGATGATCGATTTCATCTAACCTCACATCCTGGACTGCTCTGAAATAGCACAAGGAGCTCATTTTATGCTATTTCTTCCAGAAAAATTCTTATCCCACGGTTCTTTGCCTGTAAGTGACACTAACGACCCTTGCGGGAAAATTTCTAACTCGATTATCCAATATGGCGGCGCTTAATACATGAGTCGGATGGGGTATTAGATTTCTCGCTTTTATTTATTAACATTTATAGGATTTTAAATAGTAAGTGTGTCGATGGTTAATAAGTGTTCTGTAATACTCACGCGCGTATTTTTCATACGTAATGATGGCCATTTATAAGAATTTAAAAGTGTCGGATCTTCCCACAAGAGTCGCTAGTGTCGCTATTGACTAACTTGGCTAATGAATGTGGGATTATCTTTGTTTATGGAAGTAGGAGATTTTTATGCTACTTCATGGTTTCGATTATTCGCCATAATCAAGTCCCACCCAGCAAGTAATAATAAGTATAGGTGATGTAGTATGGATAGGATATATAGGATATATAGTATAGGTGATTTATAAAATGGCGAATGATCCATGTCACCTAACCTCACTTCCTGGACTGTACTGCGAGTACCGCTAACGCCACCGTGGGAATTGCTCAGCTTCTGATCGTTTATCTTTCTTTATTCTTGTTATCGACTTTCAATTAGAGGGGAATAATGGAGTCATTTCTTTGTCCATGTGAGCCCAGTAGTTGCGCGTAACATATACATTTATGGGGTTATGCCAAACCACTGGAGAAGAACTAAACAACCCTGAATTATCATTGCCGCTTCCTTTCCCTTCTTCGAAAGATTGGTCCTCCACCTACGCTCCAACGGAAAGGTGCTCGATCTCGTTGGTTAAAGTCTGCTAAATCAGTTTCCATTCTATACAACTTGCGGGGATTAACAAATCTCATTTACAGGTTTATAGGATATCTATAACAATTATTCTGTAAGCATGAGACGATTAGGTTTCGCGAAGACCATTTTCTCTTCCACCTTTCAAGAAAGTTGTTAATTCTAATTCACCTTCTTCGCGTGAACGGAATGTTGCTTGATTGTATTAAAATCTGGTAAATAAGTGTTTGTCGCCTTTTTTTATCGTTTCAAGATCCTTAGTTTCCTTCCCAGCACATAGTTTTGGCACCCACACCAAATTATGCGAGAAACGCACAACTAACCATCAGTGACGCCATTTTGTTTTCCATCCTCAGAGAAGCTCTCGACTTCTGATTTCCTACCTCCGTGATAACGGAAAGTTTCTTGATCCCATTAGGTAATTAAAATCTATTAAATGAGTTTTTATCGTTTCAAGTTGCTTAGTTTCCTTCCCAGCACATAGTTTTGGCACCCACACCAAATTATACAAGAATCTAGGAAGTAAGCGTCAGTGACGCCATTTTGTTTTCCATCCATAGAGAAGCTCTCGACTTCTGATTTCCTACCTCCGTGATAACGGAAAGTTTCTTGATCCCATTAGGTAATTAAAATCTATCAAATGAGTTTTTATTCATTTTTTTTTATCACACAAAGATTCCCTTCCAGGGACGCCATTGGGGTATCCACTGACCCCAGTTCAAGGTCTTACTGGTTGTAGGAATTTAGTCGGAGAAACCTACGTCACGAACAGCTCGTTGCGATGCAAAGCAACGGGGCCCGAGGCCCCGTGTCTTGTCACTGGTATTACGACATTGGCACATGTACACGATAGACGTGTAATGTCCCTTTTATTCGTGTGCGTTTACACGCGTGGACTCGTCATCTCTTACGCACGTTATCTAACCATGTCACCTGCCCATTTTATTTCCTCTCCACGTCTCTCTTCCTGTCAATGCTATTTCCAAAACGGGGCTAAACGAATGACGGGATAAAAATCTTGTACGAAAATGGACGTTTTCTCATAGACAAGGGTAATATTAACATCGATATTACTAAATGACACTAATTTTTAGAACGAGTCCTTCTGATTATCAGCTCATAATGATTAACATGTTGGCCATGTTGGGGCTACAGTTTCTGGAAGATCTAAAAATCCTGCAAAAATACATCACACCAATCATCAATCTCACTTAATGACTCTACTTTTTACGATTACCTTTTTCAGAGTTCATAATAATTTGTACTCTGACCATGGTGGGGAGCAGTGTTGCCGCTTCGGTTCTGTTCACTCTAGTACAGTCGGATAAAAATAATAGAACAGACTAAAAACTTCATATATTCTAACATTCGAATTAAAAATCTTGCCTGGATTTAAAAAGGAAAGGGAATGCAATTCAACGCGTGAAACAATTAATAATATTGAATAGAAAATCAATATCGAAGGATTTAGTATAATTCCCTATTTCGACAAAGCATAAATGCCTTACAAACAAATCTAAGAATGCATATAAAAATACTCATCGGTAATAACAAAGTCGTCCGCGGCCTCTGTTTTGTTATCTATTGAAATAATGGTTCAATTAACGTATTATTATTGTTCTAAAATTTCATAGGACTAAGTAATAGTACAAATAGTGTAATTAAAGTACGGTTGGCAACACTAGCTAGGAAAAATTGATAGCGAAGCTTCTGGAAGCTTTTTACCCGTTCCGGAGAGTTGGCAACCCTGGATGACCGTTTGAGAAACGAAATCGTAGCTGGAAAACGCCCCGACTAGTCGCCCTGCACTCGTCCCGGTAGCTTGTGGCAAATCGGCCGGTGAATAGGCGCAATGTCATTGTCAGCTGACGATTGCTCTGGAAACTCGTCGTGTCCGGGAAGTTGCCCTATTAACGTTAACGTGCCGGCTCTCAACTCGTCTGCGTAACGTAATACCTTCGCGCGCAAACCGCTCGATCAGCCATTCGCTTCCGCGGTCTTTTTGCGAAGCAACGTCGCCATTGAACTTAACCCCTTGACTTGTAACAACGAGTTATCGTCAACGACAGTGGCGTTAATCGTAAACTAACGTACGAGGTGGAAATATTCCATGGCGGGAGATTAAGCCAGGTAGGGTTATGTCGGAAGAAAATAATACTTCCTTACAAAATTATTCCAGGAAACCCGAAGAGGAAAGTACTTGATCCTTGGGCCATTCTCAGGTGAGTTTCGACCGTCATGGATGGTAGGTAAAATGACTTCGTGTATATTAGGTTAGGCAGAATGGATGGAACGAAGAAAGAAGATGCTCCCATGACGTATTTTTCCATACATCTAATGAGAATTGGACCAGGAAGAGCCTGCTAAAATATTCTACGAGTATTGTCAACTTCCGCTATTTATTTTGTGACGCCATGTCAATTTCCCCGAAAAATGTAGTCTTGGAATAGGTTCGAATAAGCGTGGGATTGTATTAGCTTTAGATATACATTTTTTACTGCGTTTGTAATCGCGTTCATAAAGGACTTTCTTGTACGTAACTTTGGTTTCGATTTTTACTCCCATCTGTACTCGATATAGAGATCGGTGGCCTCTGCCTCTTCTATCTATCGACGTCGGATTCTCCATCGCAGATCTCTATCGAGCATCGTCACTCTTGGAGTTTGAACCAGGAAGAGCGTGCCGAATAGAATTCTACATCACTTTGGTTCTTCGTTACGACGTCCATATCGCGTCCATTAGATTCTGCTATGAAAATAAAACCCAAAGTCTATCGAGAACTCATGGAATTATGATTCTTAATCTGTACTACATTTGCAATATCGATAAATAAGCTGGCTGTAAATCTACTTAGTTCCAGGTCGTTATTAATATTCGGCGTTGGTTAAGAAATCTGCAATCATCATCGATCTCGGTTGTTGCCTCCATTCTTGCACAGTATGGAGGCTGACGAGGCTCCATTCCATACATCTCTGTATCGAAACGGAATTCTCCCTAAAAAATACATTCTAATTATCGGGTGAACCAGAAAGAGAGTACCAAATGGAATTCTACATCATTTTGATCCTTTATTTCGACCTCAAGACGACCACCATATCGTGCCAATTAGGCACTACCACCAGAATGAACCACAAGAATGTTTGTGAAAAGTTTTAAAACTATTTCGGCGCTATGATATATAGAATAACCCTTTCATATCACCTTAAGGTGATTTCATTTTTCGAAGAAAAATATCTTTCTTCGGTTCTTGAAGTTTCAGATAATACGGTGCACCCAGTTTGGAGAAAAGTTTTATAAATATGTTGACTTTTTGGTACGTGTATATCGCACTTTCATATCACCTTAAGGCTCTTATTTTTCCCTGTGAATGGAAATCGTTTGAGAATTCGTTTTAATTGTCTCTTGAACCAGGAAGAGAGTACCAAATGGAATTCCACGTGATGCGTCTGTCATTGGTTACCGCAACGTGGCTTTGAAAAATAAAATTTCACGAGCATCATGTTCGTCCTTAGGGCCTCCATAATCACGTGCTGAAGTTTCAAATGATTGAATGTTCACCTAGTTTTGTGAAAAGTTTTACAACTATTTTGGCGTCTTGATATATAGAATGACCCTTTCATATCACCTTAAAACAAAAATTCGGCCCATAGAGGGTTAAGGTGATTTCATTTTTCGAAGAAAAATATCTCTCTTCGGTTCTTGTTCGAGAGAAATGAAAAATGTTTTTTTCGAAAAATAGATAATTTCACGAGCAGCTAGTTCTTCCTTAGAGTTTCCATAATCACGTGATGGAGTTTCCGATAATTCTGTGCACCCAGTTTAGAGAAAAGTTTTATAAATATGTTGACTTTTTAGTACGTGTATATCGCACTTTCATATCACCTTAAGGCTCTTATTTTTCCCTGTGAATTGAAATCGTTTGAAAATCCGTCCTAATTGTCTCGTGAACCAGGAAGAGAGTACCAAATGGAATTCACGTCACCTTGGCTCTTCGTTAGGACGGCCTTCCGTCATGCGTCTGTCGATGGCTACCGCAACGTGTCGACTCGGTTCTGCAGCAAGAATGAAACGAGAATACGATCGAACGGGTATGGAACTCGGTGTGACCCCTGCAGGTCGAGTGTAGTCGTGGGCAAGGCGGGATAGTGTTTCTTGTGTCAATTAAAGTTACACGCTCCAAGACTCGCGGAAGGAGGTCGACAAGAGTAGCCCATTTCCGCGAGCGAACGGCCGCTTCCGGGCCTTACGGAACGAAAATCCGGTCGCGTTGTTGCGATGCAAATGGAATTGTGGAAACCGAGCCTATCTGCCTTTCCCGACACGGCTTGCATTAGAGTTGAATCGATTCTGCGCAGTGCTTTGTCCATCCAGAAACGCGGACGGATTTCCAACGAGAGAAGTCGCTCTGCACTTTGCTTAATCCTTTGTTCTACGATTTAATAATGGAAAATTTTCCAATAAAGCAATATTTAATTTGAAAGAAAGTTGCTTTGTACTTTGCTTAACCCTTTGGGCTACGATTTAATTATGACAAATTTTCCAGTAAAGCACCATTTAATTTAAAAAGACCTCGCTTACAAAATTTGGCCATAGATATTTTCAAAATTTATTACAAAACAATGAAATTTCATGAGTGCTAGGACCTTCCTTATAGTCTCCATAATCACTTTGTAACGTTAGAAACGAATCGGCATGGTTCGAAAAGTCTCATGAACGATTGACTCTTCAGATGGCACGTTCACATCCCCTTAAGGTGTTTCCTAAAACAAAGGGCGTAGTATTTCCAAGTTTGCGCCCATCGGCGTCGTCGCCAGGGAGATCTCGGATGCCTGGGGAAGCTTTTGCAACGTGCATAGGTGGTCCACGAAACGTGGGCAGGTCAAGTCCATTCCTCGTTTCCTTAAAAGGAACTCGCTGGGCTCGCCTTCCTGCCTTACGTCACAACCTGCCTTAACCCCGTTGCCTTATTCTCCAAGGGATCTCGCTCTTGGCTCGGCCGGTAAAACAGGGCGCTTCGAGGAAGTTTCTGCGGTAACGCCGATTAACACTGACCTAGGAAGGCCCTCGAGGTCGCCGATTAAAGTGCGCCCGTACCAAGTCGAGCCGTTCCGTCGATTGGTCAGCAGACCGGACAGTCGGATGGTCCGAGACCGACCAATCGGTCAGTCGGTCTGTCGGTCGGCTTAGGTGCGCGAACGCAAGTCGACTTGGACACAGACGACGGCAATTGCACGCATCCGCAAATTTGCCACCAACTGGCACTGGCTTCTCTTATAGAGTTACCAAGCTCTGGTCTATAAGTGCTCCTATTCTCTCCCGCACCCCACGACCCACCTAACAGTCTTGGTCACTTAAGCCACACGGTGGACTTTGTGCAAAATTGCTGATAGGGTCCATAAAGACCCGTTCACGCGGCTCGAGGCTTTAATTCGGGTCGACTGATTAACGACGGAGATCTTTCCCGCCGTTGTTCGAAAGGGAGGCGCGGCCCCCTGGCGCCCTCTATGCCCTTTGCACCTATGGAAAAGTTGGAACTACTTTTAAAGGGGGGATATCTTCGTGGTCGGTAAAACAGGGTATACGTGGGTGACGCGTCGTAATCTCAATCATCCACGCGTAACAACTTTATTTCCTACTCGCAATCTTCTTTCCCAACCTACGTTGACCCTGATTCTATAAACGAAGAGGCGATAACTTCATTCTGTCGATACTGCGCTGCATTTCAAATCTGCACACGGGTTTGAATTCACTGATAGAGAACATTTCCCTCCTTTTGGAAGCTGTCCCACGCCACACCACGTCACATTCCGTACATCATCCGCGGATTATTGCATTGCGTTTATTAATTGCAAGATTAAAAGCATTCTCGGTCATTTACGTTGATAGGAAATGTTTCGCTCGCGTAGGAGGTATGAGGTTTTGCGTTCCGATTTTGGGGCCACTTTCTGTGGGACCGACCATAGGCGTTATATCTCCTTATACTAATTCATAATGTTAAGGGGATGTGAAAGTGCCATCCGAAAGCTCAATCGTTCATAAAACTTTTCATAGTACTGGGCGTCTCAAATCGTTTCATACTTTAAATCGTGAATATGGAGACTCTAAGGTAGGTCCTGAAACTCGCGAAATTTCATTTTTTTATAAACTATTTTTAAAATACCTATGNATTTGGGTACGTATATGGGACACTTTCATATCGCCTTAAGATTCGCGCAACCATTCCCGACCATGACATCTCTCCGTTCGCCGTAAGAGGGCGCTCGGTCATCGAGGCAGTCGAGTCTCGGTTCCCGGTTCCGTCGTTCCGTCGTTCCTCGATTCCCGGTTCAGCAAGACCGATTACACACCTAGCGCGGCGAAGTTAGTGGGGGCTCTCGACGAGGAGTCGCGCTCTCTCTCTCTCACCCTCTCTTTCGGTCTCTCTCTCGGCGAGCACGGTCGCCTCGCTCGCCACATCAGTCCCAACACGGCGTCGGGCGGCGATAGATCGCGTATCGTCGATCTGGGCGTCGATTTCTGCGCGATCGACCTCCTTCGGTCGGGGGATCTCGATCGGCGACTCGCGCTGCTCACCGGCCAGGTTTTAAGCCGGTGAGCGAGCGACACCTCCCATTAGTTCCGCTCGGCGCCGCGCGCACCGGCGCGTCGCTGCGCTTCGGTCGGGTCCCGAGGGAAGCGACGACGCCACTCTGAGCGGGATTACCTAATCCAGGGCCGGCGACCAGCGCGACGCACGCGGCAACCTTCAGGAGGTAAGATCGACATGCGAGGATTTTATAGCGAATTTTTACAAATTCGAAAACTACCTTGAAAGCAATTAGAGACTTTCGAAATGCAGATTTACTCATTTTTATCTTTTAAGGAGTAAGATTGACTGAGGTGCGAGGATTTCAGAGCGGATTTTTATAAAATTAGAAAACTGCCTTGACAGCAATTAGAGGCTTTCGAAATGTAGATTTACTCATTTTTATCTTTTAGGGAGTAAGATTGACTGAGATGCGAAGATGTTAGAGCGGATTTTTACAAAATTCGAAAACTACCTTGAAAGCAATTAGAGATCCTTGAAGAGTAGATTTACTAAGTTTTATCCTTTAGGGAGTAAGATCGACATGCGAGGATTTTAGAGCGGATTTTAACAAAATTTTAAAACTGCCCTGAAAGCAATTAGAGGCTTTTGAAACGTAGATTTACTACTTTTAATCCTTTAAGGAGTAAGATTGATTGAGATGCGAGGATTTTAGAGCGGATTTTAACAAAATTCTAAAACTGCCTTGAAAGCAATTAGAGGCTTTTGAAACATAGATTTACTAATTTTTCACCATCAGAGGTTACGATTGACTGATATGCAAGAATTTTTGAGTGCGTTATTCCAAAATTCGAAACCTACAGGTACCTAGGAGAATGCCTTGAAATTTCTTGCCGGACAGAAATAGTGATCTTTGGAAGGATAATTTTTCTGTGGAAATTTCATAGAAATACTAATTTGTTAGAAAGGACATTTCTTTGCAGAAACTTAATGTAGGACAGAAACAGTAATTTTTGTTAAGGATATTCGTCGCAACCCTATACTTGGCAATATTTTATTATACACGGAGGTGTTTTTTTTGGGGGGGGGGGGGGTTTAGGTTACCTGAAAATGATCGACCAATTTTCTAGTTAGATAACCCAGTTTATTATAATTATATTATGATTGTTATTATTATTATACATGTACCGATGATCGGTGGCCAGAAAATCCGCGGTCGTTTCCGTCACGTCTTCTCGTCTCGCTTCGCTGGACCCACGGGCCTTTCTTCGCTCTTTCACTTACTCTATGGTCCATTTCCTTCTCTACGGTTCCAGGGAACGCTGTTCTATTTTCTGGCCTCGTTCATAACTTCCAAAAAAACATACGAACCAGCTATGTTAAGCCGGCGTGAAAGAGTCGAGTCCTCCAGCCTCCTTTCACTCGAATCATTGTTGAAACTTCACCTTCTAACGAATTCAAAATCGATCGCTGCCAAGTTAAATTCGATCACTTTAGTACTGAACAATGTGAACGATTTAGGGGCATTGAACAATGAAAACTTGGAAGTCTAATGTCCAAATTTATGAATAGACAAAAATTTGGCTCTTCGCAGGTGTTAGTTTTATCCCACCAGTCGATATTACGAGTTTCTTAAATTTTTTAAATTTTGTCGGTACGTTTTGTCAGATTATACATTTTTGGGTTTGCCAGAGCCTGGTGAGGGATTTTTTCTTCGGTGTCAAAGGGATATTTTATAATCCCGTTCCATTGTGGAAGTATGTAATGTTAGGTCAATTTATAGTTTCTAAATAACAAACAACATCTAATTGATTTAAAATGTTGCCTTCGCATTTTATCGAATTACTCTTTTTTGGTTTTGTCAAAATCTACTGATCAGATTTTTTCTTCGGTGTCAAAGGGATCTTTCATAATCGCGTTTCATCGTGGAACTATGTAAATTAGGACGAGTTACATTTTTTAACTAACAAACAACATCTGATTGGTTCAAAATGTTGCCTTCACATTTTATCGAATTACTCTTTTTTGGTTTTGACAGTCTGCCGACCAGATTTTTTTCTTCGGTGTCAAAGGGATCTTTCATAATCCCGTTTCATCGTGGAAGTATGTAATGTTAGGTCCATTTAAATTTTCTAAATAACAAACAACATCTAATTGGTTCAAAATGTTGCCTTCGCATTTTATCGAATTACTCTTTTTTGGTTTTGACAGTCTGCTGACCAGACTTTTTCTTTGATGTCAAAGGAATCTTTCATGACCGCGATCCGTCGTGGAAGTATGTAAGAGGTTAAGAAGAGTTACATTCTCCAGATAACAAATAAAATCTCCTGGAATTTAATCTCTTCGAATTCCAGGTTCCCATAAATGCCGAAGCACGTTTCACAGTTCTCGAAACGCGTTTTCCTTCCGCGGAGCGGAATTGTGCCACATTTTACGAACTCGGTGTGTTACGATTAGAAGGAAGGAGAGGACAAGAAATTAGCATAATACTAATGCGGTTGACAACATGAGTTCAATACACGCGGCATTTATTAACACCGATTAATCAACTCGGGGATGAGAAGGATTTCATTAACTCACTCTACCATCCATTAAAATAAAATTCATAATTATTCATGCGCTCAGCCACAGGGATAATTATATATTTAAATATATAGTAATTATATATATAAATCGTGTAAAAGTCGAATAATTGATAATGAATACGGCAGTGATAAGTAAAAAACGCGGAATGTACGAAGAAGTAGATGGAAAAAGTAGCAAACGTGAAAAAGATGAAATGAAAACGTATAAAAGTATTTCTTTTTTTATTCCTCACGAGAAAGAAAATCTAACGTAAGCTTAACCTCAAAGTTAAGGAAATCTAAAGGCCTAGAGGTTAATTAGAAATGTCTCTTTCTGATAACAATCGGGGATCTAAATTGCTGATTCCGGCTCGATAAGTTTTGGGAAATGGGGACGCCACTTTGTAAAATTTATTCCTAGATTTTCACTTTAACTTAACAACAGACTTTAAAAATCCCAGACTCGATAATGTATCCTAATCGATGCAGCACTGACAATTGATTATGTATTCACCTTTTTAGAAATTGGGAATGGAATCAAGATACGGCAAGCTGCGTTCTAAAAAGATAAAGATACAAGAGATTTATTCCTGTACATTGTTGAGATTATTCATAAAATTTACAAACATTTAATACGTAAGGATGTAGTGGAATTATGACTCTACTGTCTCGAAACCAAATTAATATCCATTTATTATGGATTTCTGAATTTACTTATGACTTTACATCTCGATATCATTGAATGATATTGTGTAGAAATTAATACACGTATGTATTCAATTTCCACCATGTATTATAAATGTTATTTGAAAGCACGTGATAAAATTAGTACACGCGAATGAAACTTAACAAAAAAAAATATTACCAAATTGTTCGTTGCACTCTGATAAAAATCGATGAAAATTTACATAAATTTTGACACACCTCATAACCGAAGTTTAACACATAGGAAATAATATAAATAAAGTGGGAAAAATTAGAAATTAGAAAATGTCTAAGCATTCATAACATTGTATATTTACCGTATTAGTGGATTTTGGCTCGAATTAAATGTGACATTACATAAAAATTGTCTATAATTTAACTGAGATGCTGATTACGATATTACGGGGACAATTATATTGGAATCTTTTACGGCATCAAAATAACCAATGATTACGTAAATTTGCACAGGCATATTCTTATCAGAGCACCTTCAATTTCGATAAAGTCTGTGATTAACGTGATAGCGATGCAACGAGCTGTTAACAATCCACTTTACCGTAAACATTACCTTTGTGGAATAACCGTTGGAGCTGTTTGACAAGAACAAAAAAAATTGTTATCTAACGGCCGATTGTTACGTCAATAAATTCCGGGGCACCGTTACTCCGCTCGTAATTGGATTGAAAAAAGAAAAGAAGATCTAACGTAGTTTATCGTGCTACTCTCCTTCTAATTAGAGGCAGTATGAGTCTCCCTTAATTGAAATTATGGTGGCGGCTGAAATTCATAAGCGATGAATAGCGGCAATCCATTCCTCCGCGCTGTATATGGTATGAAGAGCCAAAGAAGCACGTGCAGATAGGGTTATGTAGTACGGAGCAATGTGTTCACCTGTTGGCTGAATATCGAGTGCTACCTGGGACGTAATATACGGCTTGTAACCGGTAACGTTGATTTTTCTCAACGCCGAGTAGACGGCCACGATCGCGACCGCGACCGCCAAAGTGAAAACGAGAGGCGCGCCCGATCGGCGTCTTTTTCATATTTTTTCACACCTCGAGTGTACACGAGAATTCGTACGTGTTATTGGGATCTCTTCGAAATGGCGGGGAAGAAGTATCGAGGAAAATGGAAGTGAGGAATTATCCAGGAAAAGTGGAGATGAAGAATTATCCAGGGAAAATGGAGGTGAAGAACTGTCCAAGAAAAATCGAGGTGAAAAATTATTCAGAATAAGTTGAGGTGAAGAAATATTCTAGAAAAATGGAGATGAGGAATTATCCAGGAAAAATGGAGGTGAAGAATTAGTCAGGAAAAATGGAGATGAAGAATTAGCCAGGGTAAATGAAGGTGAAGAACTATTCAGAAAAATAGAGGCGAAAAACTATCCAGGAAAAATGGAGGCAATGAACTATGTAGGGAAAATGGAGATGAGGAATTATTCAGGAAAAATGGAGGTGAAGAGCTATTTAGGAAAAGTGGAGGTGAAAAACTATTCAAGAAAAATGAAGGTGAAGAATTATTCAGGAAAAATAGGCGAAAAACTATCAGACTTCTTCGAGGTCACTTTTACATCGCTTTAAGACCATCTTGGACCATCACGAGGTAGACCAAGATGGTCCATTCGTGCATTTCGAAATTTCATGGGTGTTAGGACCTTCCTTATAGCCTCCATATTCACATTGTCAAGTTTGAAACGATTCGGTGTACCCAGGTCGATGAAAAGTTTCATAAACGAGATTTCTTCGAGGTCACTTTCACATCGCCTTAAGACCATCTTGGACCATCACGAGATACACCAAGATGGTCCATTCGTGCATTTCGAAATTTCATGGGTTTTAGGACCTTCCTTATACCCTCCATATTCACATTGTCAAGTTTGAAACGATTCGGTATATCCAGGTCGATGAAAAGTTTCATAAATGAGACTTCTTCGAGGTCACTTTCACATCGCCTT